TTATTTTTGATGGTGTTAGGAAGCAAAATGGAGATAAGTGCCATTGAAATATTTTATTTATTTGCAACTAGAATGACTATGCCAATTAAATTAACTATATATCTTACATTGACCCACTGCTATTCTAAGAAATAAACCTAATAACCTGCAGTTTTCTTCAAATCATTGTTTTAATTTTCATCTGGTAAGTCAGATCAGCTATGGATCAAGCAACTTGGTGGTGGTAGCCAGCAGCAGTACAGAAGCCCTGAACCTAGTGCTTGTTAATTGCCCCTTTCATGTTGTAATGGCTCTGTCTCCACAGTACGGAGCAGTGTTTGGGCCTGTTCCAGTGAGAGCCCAGTGTAGATGCTCTGAACTGTCCTCTGGGAAGAGACACTGTCTCTCTGGTGAGTACACAAGGAGAATTAGGAAGCTGAGCAGCTGGGTCTGTCAAACTGTGTAATGCTTGTAAAGCTTGTAGATTAGAAAGTGTAACTAAACTAATGTAGAAAACATGATTCATTCCACCTCTGATATAAAACCATACCACTATATTTAGCTGTTAGACACTGTTCTTTTGGACAAGAGGACTCTTGTCATAATTTTGTAATGATTGATACAGCAACTCACAGGAATACAATCCTACCTCAGCTTCAGACAGATAACATAGAAGGCAGTTCCTTTCCTTAAATGCATACAATATAGAAGATAGAAAGCAGTAAATACTGAAAGCAGACAAATGAGATTGGGAAATTGGGAGCATAGAATAAGAAAAAGGAAATAATCTAATTTTACTGTAAAATGAAAATGTCTCTATTTATCTAAACAATGTCAGATGGAAGAACTAGATCATGGCAAATAATGTAGCTCACAAATAGAGAAGCTGTAACAGTATATATGGAGCCTAGCAAGGATTATGCATATGAAATGTAACTCTAGAGTTCAGAGATCGATAGCAAATAAGTCATAATTCAGTTGTAAGTCTGATAAATTTTAAGTCTGATGAGTCTACACACCCATTCATTTCATCACGGAGTTAAAAAAATACTTGTCATTAATTGACCTTACTTTGTCGGTATGGGTTTGTTTTTTTTTTCATTTTTGCATTATTGAAGGATGTCATATTGTGATCATAACTACAGGAAACAAAATACCTTTTTTTGTTTGCTTTTTCTTCAAAGGACCAAGTGGACAATCTTGTTATTTTCTCTGTTAAAATACACACTTGGCTTTATTTAGCAGGGTTCAATAATCAACGTATGGAATCTCTTGTGTGCATGCAGCATGTATGTTAATCTATAGATACAGCATACGTACAAGGAAGGGAGAAAAGGAGAGGGGAAATGGATGCAGGGAAAAGAAAGGAACCCAGATATAAAACATAAAGCATTTGCCAGGAGCGTGATAACATGACACATTAAAAAGTCATTAAATTCATGATCTCAAACTTAAAACTTTAAATAAGATTAAGTCTTCTGATTTAAACCAGCCACAAGCCAGGAAATTCAGGCTTCAGAATGGGATCCTTTTAAAGTCGTTTTATTCTAGCTTGGTTTATCAGTGTACTTACCAGGAGCTAATGTGCCCTCTGCAAATTATACACATCATGAAATCTGAAGCAGTCCTGCCAAGACCTGGTGATAAGTTGCTATAACAGCAGCTTGGGGTTTGAGAAATGCACTTTCCTTCGCACTCATGGCAACAGGTGACCTAGTGGTAATGACATCATTAACACATTTCACCTTTTTAAGCTCTCCCGCTGGTGTTTTACTTACACTAGTTTATGGAGGAATCATTTCATTTTGGTGTTTCAAGTCCCTTGTGTTCTTAGTGGTATTTTTAAGAAAATAAACAGAAAAGTGGAAGAAGACTATCCTCTGAGATAGATAGGTGATTTGGGAGGAAAACATCTGATTCCAACAACAGATTCTTTATCAAAAAGAACTTGGGAATTTTTATAGCAGATCAGATAAGACTGCGATCAATCTAATCCAGTTTTCCCTTCGGGAACTGGCAAGACTCACTTTTTAATAAACAGTTATTAGGTACATTTTCTAGCAGATTCTCCAGACAGATAGGTTTGGAGTTGTTATGCAAATGTGTGTGTGTATATTAAGGGGAAAAAAAAAAAAAAAAAAAAGGAATAGTGTCTCAATTCATTCTTTGACTTTTGACTTCAACATTCTCTTCAATCCAGATAGGCAGGCAGAAGGATCTTTTGTTAGTGTTGTTGCTGTGTCTCTACCTCCTTCTCTATGTACCCTTCTAGGTATTGAGTCTTCAGAAAATATTACTAAATGAATTGTTTACCTCTTCTTCTCAAAAGCTATCTTTCCTACACCTCTCAATTCTTTTTATCGTGTAAATACAAAAGAACTGAAAAACGGTAGCTTCTATTTAACAATTGTAACTTAATAACATTCTACAACTGAGATTTTTGTTTACAAAAACATTTGTCCTTGACAACTTGCTCCCAACAGCAACAATATGAAAACAAACCTATTAACTCCTTTAAGTTATTTAAAAAGAAGGAAAAAAAAGTTAAACCCAAAGTACTGGTAGTACAGTATATAGCAGCAAACAGTACAGTACAGCATTTCTGAACCCTGTGGGGCCAGGTTCTATCTCCATTGGTATTGGTTGGACGTTTATCACTGAATTCAAAAGGATCAGGTCAAGACTTCCACACTGAAAACGAGGCTTTCAAATGAGATTTGTGTTGAATATCCAAACAAATCTGAGTATTTGACACCTTCATTATACTTTAAATGCTCGGATACCACAACAATACAAGAGAGAACTGGGTTGTCTCGAGAAGAGAAAGAACTAATTGCTGTCTTCAACCACCTAATGGAAGGTTACAGAGAAGGTGGAGCCAAACTCGTCTGGGAGATTAACCACAAAAGGGCAGGAGGCAATGGACAGCGGTTGCAACAAAGAAAATTCCAAACAGGTAGCAGGAAAATTTGTCAGTCGTGGTAGTCAGAAAATGAAATGTCCGCAGAGGCTGTAGAATCACCATCCTTGAAGACATTAAGGCCTTGGCTGCGTATGACCCTCAGCAACCTGATCTGACCTAGAATTTGGCCCTGCTCTGAGTGGAGGATGTGGACCAGATAGGGAAGGGAAGGGAAGGGAAGGGAAGGGAAGGGAAGGGAAGGGAAGGGAAGGGAAGGGAAGGGAAGGGAAGGGAAGGGAAGGGAAGGGAAGGGAAGGGAAGGGAAGGGAAAATCTCTGTTCAGTTTTGCATGTTCAAGCCTTACAGCACATTCCTAGACTGCAAAGAGACAGTGACAGATCATTCTGTGATTTATTTTTGTTCAGAATATGATTTGCATCTGCTAGGAAAGTATTTGGCCAGTACACAGCTGTAATTTTTTTTTTTTTTTTTTTTTTAATGTTATACTAAGCCTAACAGTAACTCTTGTTAAGAAACCCTTGTTGGAAGTCAAGCAGGCACAGGTTAGA